GCACTTGTTCCTAGTAGCTTCTTGTTACTACTAGTAAAGGCACTTGTTACTAGAAGCGATGCACTTGTTCCTAGTAGCTTCTTGTTACTATTAGTAAGGCACTTGTGACTAGAGGCGATGCACTTGTTCCTAGTAGCTTCTTGTTACTACTAGTAAGGCACTTGTTACTAGAAGCGATGCACTTGTTCCTAGTAGCTTCTTGTTACTACTAGTAAGGCACTTGTTACTAGAAGCGATGCACTTGTTCCTCGTAGCTTCTTGTTACTACTAGTAAGGCACTTGTTACTAGAAGCGATGCACTTGTTCCTAGTAGCTTCTTGTTTCTACTAGTAAAGGCACTTGTTACTAGAAGCGATGCACTTGTTCCTAGTAGCTTCTTGTTACTACTAGTAAAGGCACTTGTGACTAGAAGCGATGCACTTGTTCCTAGTAGCTTCTTGTTACTACTAGTTACTAGTAAGGCACTTGTTACTAGAAGCGATGCACTTGTTCCTAGTAGCTTCTTGTTACTACTAGTAAGGCACTTGTTACTAGAAGCGATGCACTTGTTCCTAGTAGCTTCTTGGTACTACTAGTAGTAAAGGCATCTCCCGAAATCACCGACTCCTGGTCTAAGCGTTGTAGACCCGCCACGAACTCTGGACCACTCACGCTCTCGGCCGTGTCATCCAGCAGCTTTTGGATGGCCGCTTGACCAGGCTCGGCGCCCGGGCCGGTCTCCGTCAGCACCAGCTCCTGATTTGACCGTGCCACTCGCCGAAACTGAAGACACCAAAAAGTACTGGATGGGTTCAAATGGGTTTGCGTTGATAGCTAGTTTGGAGCATGCAACTTGCGCATTTGTGTTACCTGGCCTATTCAATGGTAAACTCAAGGATTATTTGTTCGTGGTCCATGATTGGACTTGGCAAGAGGAGTGCAAGCCTGTGGAAGTCATACATGGCGCGTGACCGTTAGTCTAACTCGAGCACCGAACTTCAGACATAATTAGGGCACTCGCCGCTGGTTGTCACTACCGTTTCGTCCTGCAATACCTTTGAACCAGTCAACCCTCAACCCAAATGAATGTGACCAGACCGGCCGTATTGGTGCACCAGTCACCGTTCTCCAGAGCATGCTGGAAACTCAACAACATTTGGGCCTGTGTCCTGCCCAAACATGGCCCTTAAATCCTAAAAGGATCTATATAATTTAGGGGAAGGTCTAAGCCCTCAACAGTGATCTCCAACGGGGCTCACTGCTTTGTCTAACTCGTGCCACACGCCCTTTCATCCCTTAGATCGCACGAGCAAATCACTTATCCGGCTCCTCGAGTTTCACCAAGGCTTGTGGCAGATCGATGGACGCCTCCAGCGCTCCAAGAGACAGAAAGGTCTCATGATCCAAGGCTTCGGCGCCTGGTCTGGGCCGACCGAGACACTCGGTGGACCCGAACATGGCTGACGGGGCGCTGGAGCCGCTGGACGGTCGCCGAAATGTGGGACTCATGACTCATGACTCGATCCGGTCTTTCCTAGGATAAGATATTAGAAAAGACATATTGTGCTTTCTCACATTTTCTCACCCTGATTTGGCACATGGGCGATTGAATGATGAATGTGTGCATGTGAGACATACCGATGTGGACCGTTCAGGCTGGCGAAAGTGAGCCCAAGATTGCCAAGACTAGACTATATATAGACATACTTTCAGTAGATCCACTACGAGACCCCATCATACCCCATCCCGTGCCTTGCAACAACTGCGCGAAGTCAAAAGCCATTGCCACTCCGGCCGTTTCGGCCAGCCCCAGGCGTTGAGCGGCGGCCAGAAAGGCCTCGCGCGTGATGCTGCCAGTCTTCTGGTCATCCACCTGCTCTAAAAGTGTCATCCGTGAGCCGCACGCAGACACCAGCCATCGAAGCGCCCGCGCTGCGGTGTCCAAGTCCTTCATGCGCTTGGTCATGCTGAGGATGCGGAGATCTTCTCGGCTAATGTAGCCCGAGCGACTCGCATCCAAAGCCACAAAAAGCGCTTCAATCTCCTCAGGAGATTTGGACCATCCAAGCTCTTCGATACCTGCTGCCAAGCTTTCTCTCGTCAAAGCACCTTCTGCTTCTGCATCCAGATTGGTAAATGCCATTTCCAGACTCTCATGTTTCTCCACCAGCGCGGTGTGCAGCTCTAGAAGCTGCTCCGCCGGTGCCGGCACGCTAATCTCCAGCAATCGTAAGAAGTCCTGCAACCCGATGCGGCCCCCGAGCCCCGTGCGTGGGCGGCACAGGAAGCTGAACACAGCAGGGCCATCGCTTCGAGCTGCCGGGAAACCTGCACGCATGAGGTCCTCCTGAAACTCTTCAGTGCCAATATCGAAGGAAATGTCAGCCTCCGTGGGTGATTCAGGCACCTCTGGCTCCTGGGGCACCTCATCTCCCGGTTCTGCCGTTGGATCTGGCTCCTCGGGTGGAGGAGGCAGGTCAATGTGTGGCAGGACCAGTTGCCCACCATTGAAGTCGCATCCGAGGATTCGGATGGAATAGTGTAGCGGATGTGACTCCAAGACCCCTTCCGCAGTGCCAGGCTCCGGCAAGGGGCCACCGGCCTCTAACAGTTTCTGCGGGAGGTGGTAAATTCCCTCGATCTTGGTCGTCAACACCGCCCAGTCGTGCAAATCTTCGGGGCAAAGGATGCGCCCCATGGGTGCGGCTGTGGAGATCTTGAAGAAGAGTCGGCCAGGAGGAGGAGCATTGAACTGGGGCGGCTCGTCTTGAACCGCCTCTTCCGCTTCCTGCTTGGCGCAGCTGGCTTCGTGCTGTAAGACCAAAAAGAACGTAAGAAATGGTTTGATCAGCATTGCATAGCGCAAAATAACAAATGACATTTTACAAAGAACATCAAAGAACGCATTTCTAAGGTTGGTGAGTTTTCCCCCCGTGAGCATCATCCACATTCTACAAATGGGAGGGCCATCTTCATCCATCTTCCAATGACAACTCTCCAGCCCTCGCGGCCCTCGCGGCCCTCGGGGCCCTCGCCTCGCCGGCCTCACCCTCGGCCTTCGCAGCCTCAGCCCGTTCGGCCTCCGCCTTCGCGGCCTCCGCTGCCACCGCCTCGTCGAAGTCGGCCTTCAGCTCGTTCACCAAGGCCTCCACATGTGCGAAGCGGGCGCATGATGGGGTGCGCCAAGCGGGCGGCTAGGGTCTCAACCTGTTTGAGGTCCACACATCCCCAGCTAGCCATAGAATTCAAAACCCTATAGCTAAATTGAATTGTTTTTTCACAACAAGTCGTCCTCATCCAACCACATGGGACCATCCTCTCCACAACCCGGCCCACACAGCCCACTTCGCACATCCGCCTCCGACCAGTGCAGTTCCAGGTCGACCTCCAGGTTTGCCGTGTCGTGGATCAGCTGCGTGAGCTGCATCGAGGCTTCGCCCAGCTCTTGACCACCCGTGCGGAAAAGCTTCACGCGCAAGGGCGCGCAGGCGCTGTCCAGCAGCCGCTGCCTGGCCAGGCTGACACCAAATTCATCCAAATTCCCACTCATGTCCCCTGTTCGGTGTGGTGTGGATGGATGAACTGCAAGGAACGGGAAAGAAGGACATCAGAAGGACAGGTGCGCAGGCTTGGGAACTTTGGGAGGTTCTGATCCTTCCATACACTGGTTCTGATGGTTCGCTCGGCTCTCGTCCCCGTCCCCCACCTTTCCAGCGCGCTCTTGCAGGGCCGCGCGATGCGACACACCGCGGTGGGTGGATCGATGGATGCCGGGCGGGACTCGTCCTGAAAAACGGGGCAGGGTGGGCCTCTGGTGGAGAGGAATGGAAGGGTCTGAATGGGGGAGTCTTTAATACACTGTACCATATTTTGATATGTTTGGATACCCTTTTTTTCACTCAAATGCAAATCAGTGGGCCAAGTCATACAAAATATCAAAGGAGTCACTTGACACGTGTCCAAAATGGAGGACGGCATGCCCATGCATGCCTCACATTCACTGTCTCAGCAGAGCCTGGGCATCCTTCTTCGGCTTATTCTTCCCTTGCGCTGCCTCTGCCTGCCGAAGTTTGGGCATTCTACACAGAGAGAATGAAAATATATAAACACGCACGCCATGTTCAAAACTCTATATATATATATGTATACAGTATATAAGTGTGACGTATGGTCATGCTACCCCACTCTTGATAGGGATGACAGGGGTTGTGTGGTTCCAAATGTGACCATCACAGGCCATAAAGTCAGACAACCTTCTAACCACTTTATATAACCCAACCAAGTGGCAAACATGAAGCTCTCTGTGGCGTCCCGCCTCAGCTTTCAGGCGTTTCGCCTCTGCCAAGGCTTCCAAGCTTTGAAACAGCCATGGGCCTGGCTCTGTGGACTCCTGCAACCAACCCAAACGTGCGCACGTTTCCGGCGCTCCGTCCATGTGGCTTCAGACCCCTCAGTCCTCCACCTGAGCTTCAGAGGCATAGTCCTGCGGCGAAGCAAATGAGTCCGAGCCAATGAGTCAGACCAAATGGCAAAAAGAGTTGGAACATGTGTCACGAAAGGTCTCTGCACATGCTGAGTCTGCACAAACATCTCACCGCATGTCTGTGGCACACATCCATCCGTCCACCGGACCCCAAGGAATCACTGGATGAAAAACAACACCTACAGCGACAGTAACCCCACCATGTCCAGTCTCATGCCTACCACGGCCTACCTCCCATCCCAAACCTCCCCGTCTCGGCTGCGCGGAGCGCGTTTCGCGCAGAGCGCGTTTCGGTCCTCTTCGAGGCCCAAGCCCGAGATCTGCACGTAGGTCACGTCCGGCTTTGGGAGGCCCTGTGCCCCGGGCACCTCGAGATGGAAGACAATGGCCTGGAGATGGCAGCCCGGCAAGCCGAGGATCCCTGCAAAGAATCGGAGGTTTGGTCGCGGTTTTGAGGTCAAGAGAAGGATGAAGGATGAAGGATGAAGATGAAGGAGGAGGAGGAGGAGGAGGATGGAGGAGGAGTCTACAACGCTTAGACTGACTGTCGATTGTCTTTGAGATCTCCTATGGGACCGGAGGTGAGGAGATTTGAAACTTTCTGCATTTCAGCAGAGCTCTAGTAATTAGTAGTAGCTTCTTGCTCCTAGTAGTAAGGCCAGGAGTCCCTAGTAGCGTCCTTGCTCCTAGCAGTAAGGCCAGGAGCCCCTAGGAGCTTCTTGGATGTGCAGTAGGTGTTTGCGTTTTGTCCATGTCGCGACAGTAAAGGGAGGCATCAGGTGGTATCACTCCCACACCTGTTCAGCCGGCGCTTCCTCCGCCATCGTCCTGTAGAGGATGAGGGGCGTTCAGCTCTGGCCAAATTCGTGCCATCCATGCATGCTTGTCAAGAAGTCTACAGACCTTTTACAAGGAGACTTTACTCAGAACAGCTGTTTAGCGACAATCTGTTCATGGGGAAGGAAACCCACCCTAAGCTTGTCGCACCCGAAAATCAAAGGAACAGTCAACACATGCTTCAATTCCATTCAACTCCTTGGAACTAGCTGCTGCGTCACGCAAATCAAATTTCTTTCAGACAGTTGACGGGCTAGGCAACATGTTGTGGAAGGTTCCTTAACCATGGCACTGGCGCAAAGCAGTTTTCTTCCACACGCCCACTCTTGCGAAAATGTGTTCTCTGTACTAAAGTGGCATAGCTGTTCTGCTGTACCGCTGGATCCAGCAAAAAGGGCTCTCCACAAAACCTCCAGCGCACTTTTGCGCATCCGGACTGGGTCCGGCACTGAATAGCTCAGATCCACCGCTTTTGGTGGCGCGCGGAAATGGCAAATCCACTCACAGTTCCATTCACATGTCACCTTTCCGGAAGGCTTCTCGGTCGAAGCCCGGAACGACCCGCACCGCCAGGCTCAAGCGCTGCAAGGACTGGGCCAAGCGAATGGCCTTGTTCCACTCGGGCGTGGTGGATAGGACTGAGAAGAGATGGTCTCGAGCGTGTTCCGCCTTCGAACGCGCTTCGGCCAAGGACAGAGGGAGCTCTGACATCAGAGACGAGGTCACGCGATAGACGGTGTTCTTGCGGGTCTCAAAGGTCTTGTCCAGAAGGAGGACGTGCCATTCCTTGGACTCACTCTATATGTAATTGGTCACACACCCACACACACACACAAAAAAAAAATGATTTAAACATGTTAATTAAACAATGGGTTCTTGTTTGGCAGAGTTCGTCTTGAATCACTCCAACCAGCCAGGCATTTCGCTCCAAAAGCAGAAACACCGCGGAAGGTACTTGCAACGTTCGAAACTGCTTTGGGCCACCGGGGTGGAATCCGACACTTCACATCTCAGGACCCATGAGGTGCCCCAATGTGCGACCCTGAACTGCAAAAGCCGAAATAGCGCCCAGCTGAACACCACCTGACTATAGACTATAGACTATAGACTATAGACTCCAACTTAATCAATTCTTATCACATGTATCACCCCTCATCTAAATATACATTCCAAGCCTCTGGCGGCTTCTCCACATCTTCATCCATCAGCCACCGCACCGCCTCGCCCATTCTCCGTGGGTCCGGCGAGGAGGGCATCCCCGGCGCCGTCGTCGGCTTCACCGGGGCCACCGCCGGGGCGGCACGGCGCTGGACCTGCACCTGGCGTGGCGAACGGGTCCAACGGAGGAACCGACGACATGAAGCATCATGACCCCAGTGCATATGGCCGGTCTCTACAGGGTGTAGGGGGAACGAAATGTTGCAAATATGGGCAAATTACAAGCGTTGACGGCAAGGAAATCTGGATGGATGGATGGTGAAGAGATGTTTTTGTTTTTTTATCCTTTCGTTGAGCACGACCGTGTTCACCCACCCGGCGCCGACCGACCGGACGCCCGCCTGTCGTTCTCGAATTGGCGTCGTAAAGAGGTACGGACAGCTCGCAGACAGGAGGGCCACTGCCAAAGCCCTCGCCATCAGCCGACCCGGCCGCAGCGGCATCACGTGTGCCACTGCTGTGAAAGGCGAACCCGTAACCCGACGACCGGGAGAGTGAACGTGGAACGTACGTGGAACGTGTCTGTGCTGTATAGACTGAAGTGCTTGCTGGCAGTGGGCCTAGCTGATTCGGTAAGTGGCGGGATGGCTGTGTGAGGTGCACTTGAGCCCGATCGCTGCAAGGCAGGAAGAATCTCACAGCATCCCATGATTGAATTGCTCGGATTCTGGCTGTGCCGGTGCGCGCTGGACCGGCATCGTGGGTCACTTGGAGGATGGAGGATGTGAACATCATGGGCCATTCGGAACTAAAACCACACCCACCCGGAGCAAAGAGGGAGCCAAAAAGGGAGCCGTATCCAGTTCTCATGTGTTCTCATCAGCGTGGCAACAACAGGGCCGTGGTCGGAACGGAACCAAAAGCTGGTTGTCCAGCTTGGCGCAACGAGCGGCCCACAACACAGTGTACAACCTAAGCGATGGCCTCCAACCTAAGCTTGCATTCTATATACATTCCCACTTCCCTGTTTGAGCAAGTGTAAGTTCGGTGGAACAGCGTCGGCATTCAGATGCAATCTGCCTAGGTCAGGTTGGTGCCCGAATTTCCTCACAATCCTCGCAAGAAAACCTACAGACTTACAAATTTAACTCGAGTGTTTAACGCTGCCTAGTGACCTTGACCTCGACCTCTCTTCTCCCAAGACCCCCCCCCTTCCCAGAGACCTCCTTAAGCTCAAAGCATTCGCCTGGCAACATCAAGTGGGGTTGCTGACGCCGAGCGGGGACCGTGTTCAGAAAACAAAGGACAAACCTTGAGCAGCTCAGAAACACACAGGTCATTTTGTTCAAGATGAGGTGGTATTGTTTGGTCAGGGTTTGATACCAGCTCATTTTGTTCAGGGCTTCCCATGAGGTGCTATTCCCTACAATGATGGCCCCACCTCGACCGCAGGAAAGGCGGTCTTCTTGTGGGCCACTTGAGCCAGAGCTGTCAGCGAGGAATAGGGCTGATCAAGGTGGTGAGAAGCAAAGCTGAACATAAGTCCTATATAATACCTACTGTATACATCTCATCTATAGTTCTACACACACATAAATAAATATATATATATACAAACACACATACATTCACCCACACCCATGCTTTGATATGTGTATTCTTCATGGGGCCAATTCGGCACGGAAGCCTGGCAAACATCTGACAGATTTGTCCTCATCCAGTACATTCAGCAAGTGCCGCACTGGGTTGGCAGAGCTTCTAGATGAGCAACCCGACAAGAGGCCTTGTTTGTGACGGGTCGGAGTCTCCGCATCGTCAACTGCATTTAACCAAAGGGTCTCCCTACTTACTTCTTCCTCTTCAGTCTTCCAGGCCTCCCCACTGGGGCCGCTGTCAAACTCATAGCCCTTTCTTTGGAACCTCACATTTAATTTGTCGAAAAAGGCTTCGTTTGATCAGGGATGGATCAGCTTCGCATGGGGCCCAATTAGCAAGAGAACAGTGTGAGACTTGTTTAATCACGTTAGTTTAATCTCGTGTGTATACTGAAAACATCTGAAAACTGTTTCTTTGGCGATGGTTTCCAACCATCCCACCAACCGGACTCAGGTTCCACCACCACGACTGGGAGGCCCAGCGAGTGCGCGACCTGGGTTCGGGTCTTGGGCCCGACCGCTCAAACAAACACCGTTCATCCCTACGACCAAGTGCGGTGTCACTGTGTCACTATGGTCCACCTTGTTTCACCTGACTTCCACAGATCTTTCCACTCCATCGCCAAGTGGCTCCTCCCGGCTGCGTGTGCGACTCGCACACCAGCACCCTCCGACCCGACCGTGCCAGAAGCCCGGCACACGCGAGGCCACCAAAGCCGGAGCCTGGCCAAAGTGAGCTTAGAAGTTGGAAAATCATGAACATGCATGAAAGCTTAGAAGTTGGAAGTTAGAGCTCGCATCAGTTTTGCATTTGAGAGGTGGGTCGGTCAATCTGCTTTGAGGCCGGAAGCCTATGACCACCACGTCCACTGCGTCGCTTCCTTTCGCCTGGGCTCGCGGGCACCACCGTGGCGGGCACCACCGGCACCGGCGCTCGGATGTGCCGAGGCGCGCGCCGATGCTCGCGCCACGCGGAGGCGCCTCCACCACGGAAAGCGAACGTCGACGTGAAAGGGGGTCAATGCAAAGGTGGCCAAGGTCTGAAGCTTCCAAGGTCTGATGCCCTGAACCCCTACTGAGAAGTCTGGGAGGGGGTCCTGTTGAGACAGGAGTGGCTCCAAGGTGTGGGATTCCAAGGTCTGAACACAAGAGCCAAAAGAAGTTGAGGGAGGGGGTCCGGCGTCAGCAGGACCCCTACTCCTGGACTCCTAGATTGCTTGCCGGTCGTGCGAATGAATGAATTGACAGAAGCAGCACAGCACATCAAGTGTTAGCAACTCCGCTGCTCGGAAACGTACGACGAACGAAGGCTAAGATCCGCAGAAGTGCTCAGAAATCAACGCTGGAGCGTCCCCCTACAGAGGGGGCCTTCTCGCCCTCAGCCGCCCACATGGGCGGTCAAAGAAAAAAGGATTGGACGTCTCCACAAGTCGAAGACGGTGCCACTCACTTGGTCAGCTCCTTGAGCTCGCTGGGCACAGGACCTCTGCTGAGATGGAGGTCCAACTTTAAGAATTGGTTTCCGCCGATGATGAGGGGGGCTCTTACACAAGATCTCCTTTGGATGAGCGTTTGACTCCTCACCCGCACCCCTCGTTCAATAATGCTCAATAGGTTTGATTACATTATATACTACATTACATATGTTTAATGATTGGGAAGGTGTCGAATTGAAAAACAAAACGACATGTGGATACAATGTGGTGTCTTGAGTATTACTCCCCTCCCAAGCCAGTGCTGATTTGGATCGGTAGCAGCTGAGTTCTTCGGGATTCAATCATTGTTGAAACATACACATCCCTGACATTCCCAGCGAACAGCTTTTGTTCCGGGTCTTTTGCGTAGTCCCGCACGGCCGCGGGACTACGGGCCGTCGCCAGATTCCCCCACACACCACCGTTGCGGGCCCCTATTTGCGTAGCACAGGAGCAGGGTTTGAACTTCTCGTCCTTCCCGAAGGTGAACTTGCAGGCGGCCTTGCCCGCCACACGGCCGAAGACCACCTGGCACAAACAAGGTGGCCCCCTGCAGGCAGGGTGGCATTTGGAAGGATTGGTTTTGAAGGGTCCTATATATGTTCCATTTGGGCGTTTGCCAAGTCAAGCAATACGCGTATAACGTCTCCATCATTGATTCCATGGAAAGCGATAAAGCACGGCCGTACCTGATTGTGAAAAGGCCAGCAACCAGTAGTGAACAAAGCGACGAAAACCCCCTATGCCCGATTCAAAATCATTATTGAATCTTTAGACGCAAGTCTACCAAGGCCATCCCGCTGTGAATGTCCAGGCCACACAGTCCAGCAAGGAGTTGCCACCCAAGCGGTTGTTGCCGTGGATGCCGCCAGCCGCCTCACCCGCCACATAGAGTCCAGGAATCGCTTTGCCGCTCTTGTCGATGCATTCAGCATCCTTGGATCTTGGATCTTGTACAGCAGTGGGAACCAGGCCCACATGCATCCACAGTGCATTCCAAGCATCCACAGTGCATTCCAAACCGCCCATGCAGTAATGAATAACCTCGGGCTGTGGATGTTTGAGCAAAAAATCCGTACAAAACCTGTGTCAAACGTGTTATACAAGTAAGCCTAGGGTCATAGGCGAATGTGTTTGCGCGCTTTCCTGGGCGCATACATGAGAGCACATATACGAGTGAACACACATGATAGCGCGCATATGCGGGCACACATGAGAAAACACATATGAAAGCACGAATATGAAATAGGAGAGGGCGCATATGAGAGCCGACACATGTGAGAACACACGCACACATACGACACATATGATATGAGAGCACGCGTGTGAGCAAACGCATGAGAGCACGGGCATCAGCGCGCGCACAAAAAGAGCACGCATGTGAGAAGGTTGAGAGCCCATAACAATTAGTGCACAATTATGAAAGCGCGCATAGGTGATCAAGCGCCTGAGAGCGCAATGGGAGCATCCATATGAAAGAACACAGGCAAGGGCACACTTTGAGGTTTACAGGCCACAAAACCTGCACTTCGAGACTTTCAAAGCGCCTCCCCTGCCACAACATTTGCAGCTCGAGGTTCACAAAGCGCTGCGCCTGCCACGAAAGCTTCATGTCAAGGTTCACAGAGAGTTGCCTGCCACGAAATACGCAGTTGAAGGTTCACTCACCGCTGTGCGAGCCACAATATCTGCAAGTCGAGCGCCTTCAGCTGCCACGAGATCTGCAGTTCCAGGTTCACAGAGACGAAGTACGCCCTTGAAGAAGCGAGGTGCGTGCCAACAATATCTGCAAGTCAAGCGCCCCACAAAATCTCTAGAGCTCTTCATCTGTGGCAGGCTCCGGCTCCACAGGCACCGCGAAAATGATACGACAGGTTGATGTAAAGCGAAACGGGTTTGCAGGGTTTTCGCCTGATAAATGTTGGACATTGCCCCGGTCCACTAACAGTGAGCACAAAGATGGGCACCACCAAGCGCACGAGAAAATTGGACCCCAAAAGCGGTTTTCTAAATTTGAAAAGTCATCTACGTAAACTGAATAGTCCCATTATATGTTGGCAGCACCTTTTTCTCCTTCATACCTTTGCCACTGGTCCACTGCTTTGGCGCTCTACACGGCACACTCTTGTGCCCAAGCCAACAAAGCCTTGCAAGGCTGCGCGCCCTGGTCTTCTCCAAGCCTTTCTTGAACCTGGGTTGGGGCTGGCTTGCTCTGGGGAGGTCCGCTAGCAAAGTAAATGTCCGGCTAGGGCTTGGCCTGGGGCTGGCTGGGCTGGGCTGGCTTGCTCTGGGGAGGTCCACTAGCAAGCTGGGCCGGGGCTGGCTGGGGCGGGGCTGGCTTGCTCTGGCGGCTGGGGCCAACTAAAGTAAATGTCCGGCTGGGGCTGCAGCTGCCCGAGCCCGGCTGGATCCGGGGCTGAGCGGTCAAATTTTGGCTCTGGAGTTGTGCTTTTCTGGTGCTCCTCCAGGCTCCGGAGTTGTGCTTTTCCGGCGACAAAAAGCACGAGAAAAAGCACGGGAAAAGCACAAAAAAGCACGAGAAAAGGCTCCAAAAAGCACGAGAAAAGGCTCCAAAAAAGCACGAGAAAAGGCACCAAAAAAGCACGAAAAAAGCACGAGAAAAAGCACGGGAAAAGCATCAAAAAAGCACGAGAAAAGGCACCAAAAAAGCACGAAAAAAGCACGAGAAAAGGCACCAAAAAAGCACGTGAAAAGCACCAAAAAAGCACGAGATTGCAGATCAGGATCGGGCTTCCCAAGCTTGTATTTGAACAAAAGCACGGGAAGCACGAGAAAAGGCACCAAAAAAGCACGAGAAGAGGCACCCAAAAAGCACCAAAAAGCACGAGAAAAAGCACGGGAAAAGCACCAAAAAAGCACGAGAAAGGGCGCCAAAAAAGCACGAAAAAAGCACGAGAAAAGGCACGAGAAAAGGCACCAAAAAAAGCACGAGAAAAGGCACCAAAAAAGCACGAAAAAAAAACACGAGAAAAGGCACGAGAAAGCGCGCGAGATTTTGAAAGCGGGATTGGTGCTCCGAAGATTGTCCCCGCGGAAACGGTGGATCAGGACACCGGTGGTCCTGGGACTCCGGCGGTGGCTGTGGGGGAGGGGGTTGGGGGGTCTGAGGGGGTTGGGGGGTCTCCTGCCTGGCAGGTTCTTCGACCTTGTGCGTGGCATGGGCAAAGAATTTCCATGAGCCATGCGAGTGTCTCCTGCGAGACATGCCCATGCAGCCCATGCATATGATGCAATATAAATTAAGGATAGTAATGATATTACTATACAATATATTCATAGCTTTTGGGTGTACTAGTCTAGTAGTAATAGTAGTGGTAGTAGTGGCAGTAGATGTAACCCAGTGCAATGTAACTCAACATCAGGTTGGTGAAAGACTGGGGGCGAGTGAGATGAGAGGGCCTTCGGGAGTGAATGAGATGAGATGACAGGGTTCTAAACCTTCACAGTTGAAGATGGTACCTTGTTGAAGTGGCCTGATTTCAGTTTGAGATTTCTGGTGCTTTTTCTTTTAGTAAGTTCTTAGGGAAAGCATTTTGCGACTGTTACTGGGGGGGGGGCAGGGTCCAAGATAAATGATTGAAGTGTACCTTGTGAAGGTATCGCTTTTGGGGGGTCACTACCGCTCTACGGGTTCTTGTATCGTTTTAACGGCATAATAGATTTGTGTACAAGCCCTTTGGATGTTGCTCATCTCTTCCAGAGATATGAATGCACCGTAAATAGCAGCGAAGAGCCCCGCCCCCGCCCGTGAGCACCCTCCATCAAACCCGGCCTGAAAACTATTGCGGTCAAGAACCTTTGGCGTGACTCACACTGCTTGGGGAACAAATCCACTCAACTTTGCCACCAGGACCTGTGCAGTCCAGATGCGGGGGTGATGATAGCAACATAAAAGGGCTCCGTGGCGACCTTCGATCCGTCAATGATGTTGTGGAAGAACTTCTTCCCGCTCCCGGTCTTGCCGCTGGGTTCGTCCCAGGTCTTGCCCGAGGGGTAAGCGGGGAAGTTGCCGCCATCCGGGTCCTGAAACTGACTCAAGAAACAAAGTAGGGTAGCATTTGATTTTGTCATTACAGTATTCGTATTATGTTTTGCGATGTTTTGTTTGATACTGGCACAAGAGCACTGGTCACAACAAAAAGCTGTTTTGATGGAGTGTTGGTGACCTATGGAGTGGGCAAAGCAACAACAACACTCAACGCAGCTGATGAGAACCATCATTCAGCAGGTCAGCTGTTTCGCAGAAGAAGCACAAGCCTTCCTTCAAAATTTTTGCATGAGTTCTCTGCAGAGTGAGGTCCATTCGATTGGTAAAGCAAATTCATGTAGGAGCCATGACTGTACAGCAGCCAATGCAAACAGAAAATCAAAATGCTATGCTTTCTTCATCACATCGCAATTGACCAGCGACTTCTATGTTCGGATTTTCAGGCGGCGGATTGCCCTCGCCACCTACATGGAGAGTCCTCGATCTTTACAAGTGCACCCCTAGATGTCAACATAATATATAGACATGTGTACATCATACGGTCATACGTATATATTTTTCTTCGGCTCTTTTCGGTCTGCAAATCACTCGGCCCTTTTGGCCATGAAACAAGTTGGAAGGGTCTGCTGCCCGGCCTGACCTTGGCCGCATGGTCGTTGCAAAGCTTTGGAGGCTTTGAACTGCTCACCCACATTCATGCCGTAGGCTTTGCACTCTTGAGAGTGTACCTTTCTCCTCTCCGCCACATGATGTGACTTTTGTGTCCCTGCCATGAAGAGTCTGGCACCCATACTTGGTCCCAGCATGGAGCCAGCGCTAGGCTCTTGATCTTCTCAGGCCCCACACTTCTGGCAAACCAGGTAGTTTTTCTGCAAAACAAAGGTGTGTGGTGCCATGTCAGGAAGCTGACTCAGAATGCTCTGCAGCAAGTCCGCTTTCGTGGACATCACAACTTCCTGGCCTCCTTTGAGAGGTATCCCACTGGATACCTCACACTTTTGATTCTTGAAGAAGAGAAGATCATCATACCAGCAGCGCTTTTTGTGATCCTTTTCTGGCATGCTTTGCATTGAAGCCCTCTTGGTCTCGCCTCTGACTCGCGAGGAAAGAACGCCACTGGCAAAGACGCCAAGCTTCCCTAGTTTCCTACGCAAAGCCAGCGGGAGACCATCATGAGAAGACAAATCCACTAACGTCTGCGCAGGGCCCAAGGACCATTTCCAAGGCCCCCACTTCAGAACCACACTCTTTGAACCACTGACGTAACGTGAACAACACCGTCCCGGTCCCCCTAGAAGGATCCGGATCCCAAACATTCCCAAACCAAACCACGGCGCCGCAATCGAGAAACCAGACCAACCAACTGAGTACCAAGAACACAAAAAGGATGGAGGAGACCCCCGTAGATGACACTCCGAAGATGACGGTTGACCCACTGAGCCACCCGGGCCGAAGCCCACAACTAAACGCACCCAAAAAGCATTTTGCTGAGACCATACACCCTCAAAGCGGAAAGAGAAAAGGAGAAGGGAAAACGACAAACCCCCAGCAATTTCATAGTTCTCCTGGCTTTATCTAAACAACCAATTTGCTTAGAAGACATTTTCCGGACCGAAACCGCAGCCGAGCAACCCAAAATGGTGAAATCCTCAGACACACGTTCAGGAATCTGCGAAGGCGAGCAGTACGACCGGTAAGCTGAACCTTACCCGGAGACTCCCAAAGGGCCACAGAAGCCGAGAACTCACTCCAAGCCTGAACCTTCGCCAGCAAGCCCTGGGCAGAAGCATCGGTGAACGACCTATCATCCATATAGATACGCGTGAGACCCGAGACCCGATTCCAACCCGCACACATCCACGCGCAGATGGCCGCAGGACCAAAAGCACACCCTTGAGGAGTACAAGGAAAGGCGCGAAGAAGGGGACGACTATCCACATGGCCTTGCCAAACAAGCCAGCGGAAGTGGGAACCCCAAACCAAACCGATGACCCGACACAAGCCTTCCGGCCAACCTCCCTGCCGCAACAGATGGACTGTAGCCAGACTGGACATGGAATCAATAGGCAAGGGACGCGGCAAAACCGACGGAGGAGAAGTCAGAAAAGACCTCAGACGCCGCCACCTGAGCTTCAGCCCACCAGTTCAGGAGGGAGAGACGCAACCCAAGATTTATAAGACGGAGTTTGGAAATAAGAAGAAGCACAAAGACGCCAAAAACACGCCAAAACCGTGACTGGTCGCATATCTTGGATATGCAAACAGCCCTGCTCCGTTTTTTGGGGAAGGTTAGTCATTCGAGAATGCAAGAGCTGGTCAGGAACTGCCCCTGCCGATTCCCAACTGATAGCCAACTGTCTGAAAACCTCGAGAGCGGGTTCGGGAAGGTGACGAATTTCTTCACCGTGCCATTGATCCACACTAGAAGCACCTCCGGCCATCTTGGTTCGAGCCGTTTTGATCAGAATTTCCAATGACAGACTTTCCCACTCAATTTCCGCCGCCGGAACATGGGCGGCGGCAACCAAGTTCTGAGCAATCGTGTCATGATCCCTAGATTGGTGTGACCAAAACTCATCCCAGCACCGATGAACCAAACCAGTGACCTCCTTGGGGTGATGACAACCTGACCAAAACCCGAAACCGAATCCACTTGGGGAGACTCCCTGGCCTTCAACCATCTACCTAAACCTTTGCGGTCTTCAAACATCGAACTCTTGCATTGTTGCAAGCGTGTGGCTTTCACGGCCAACTCATCCTCATCTAAGCGAAGTTTCGTCTGGGTGATTTCGCTCGTGAGACGATCAGGCAACAACTCAACAGCAACGTCGTCCAAATGAAGCTTGCGCGTCAAGAAAGTCATCACTTCGCGACGATGAAACCACCCAGCCGGACTGCTAAGCAGTCTTCGGAGCTCGTAAAGACGCGCCAGCCGCTTGCGAATTCAGGATTCTCATAGCGCCCTTCGCCGAAGTGTTTTTGGTCCTAGAGCAGGTGACACACTTCCATCTAGGCAAGTCCCCTTTGGGGATACTACCTCGAACTCGAGACCGAAAGTCATGGCCCTCCACCAACCCTTTCTCATGAAGAGACCGAAAAGCTCTGCGGAACATATCATTCAAAGAAACCATGAAAAGATCCCAAGGCTCTTGAACAGAACTGCCAGCGAACTGCGACGGAGACAGATCGCGCGAATTGCAGGAAGCAGCTAAACAGGCTCTCCAAGTTTCGGCGTCAATGCCCTTGGGGCGTGACCAACTTGGAGCACTGGCCAACGAACCCACCGTGAGGTCAATAGGTGGACAAGCAACATCGACCTGAGTCAGTTTATGATCACTCAACACAACTTCTTGCACGGAGACCTCTGCAAACCGAGGGTTGGTTGATGATCGCAATCAATTTCCCATCTGGTAGAAATTCCGGGCGACAACACCCCACCCTGCCATCCCTGCAACACATCACTGATAGTGGATTTCTCAAGGGGTCTCATTGGAATACCCCAATGGCGATCCAACCGTGATTCATGGGCAGAGACTCTTCCAAAAGGCAGTCAACCAAGCAACAAGCCGCGTCAAATTGGGGATCTCCATCAGACGGGGGGGGCGTAAAAGTTCAAAAGCAAAAAACACTCACAATAGATGGAAACCATTTGGGAGCTATTGCGAACCAGGGCACGACCCTGCCTAGATTGAAGCCTAGTATCCCTCCTCTTGGTGTCGGATGACCATAGCGGTCCACACCAGGGGATCCTTGCACCCCATAGAGTCGAAAACCCTTTTTCCCTGCCATCCTAAGAAACGCTTGAAACTCTTCGGGCGACATTCTGGTCTCTTGCAAAGCAAGAGCAATCAAAGCATCGCTCCCAGCCAGGTGGTCGAGCGCTTTCCAAGCACCCTGGGGTGATCTGCAGGCGACCAAACCTGAAAGCCGGTAGCCGCGGGCCCCGGCTGAGGTTCAACTCCTTCCCCGTGAGATCTCTCAACCAACCCTTAGGGTTGTTGTTGGGAGCAAAGAAGTTGTCAGCTTGACTTTTCTTGCAACCCCAGAGCTTCAGCAACTGCCTACCCAACGCCAGGTTCCTAGCACTAACCAAAAGGCTCTTGGATAACCCTGTCCAAACCTTCACATTGCTTCAGGGTTCGATGACAAAAAGCGGTGTTGACCCTTCGACAATGCTTGCACGTCACCATAGTAGTGGGCTTAGCAACCCTGTCCTCAGACCAATTGGTCCAGTCAGCATGAAAAACGACGAAGTCATGACCTTTTATTTGTTTGACTGGCACCCCTTTTTTTGTCATCCAGGCATCCGCTTCCGGCAGCGAACATTCCACGCTTTGCGCAACTCTGACTTGTTGTCGAGCTGCAACTGAGTCCACACCGAAGCGCTGGCTGCCCAAGGTTTTTCACGCAACCCTTGGCAAACGCGCTTCATCTGCAAGTTGTTCTGACCTTTTGAATCACAACCTACATTTGGAACAAGTCAACAGAGTGGAGTTAGGTCCGTTTTGAGCCCCAGCCGAAGGCCAGGTAGACCTATTCACATCAACCTGTTTCAAATCATGACCTCCGTAGGATCCCTGTTTTTGGACCAAAAGCTCTGAGTTTGGCACCCAACCCTTGTTTCCCATCCGTTCGGGTCAGAGTCCTTTCTTGATCCGTTCTTTTTGGATCTTCGCTCGCGCCGCATGGATAGCCTTCAGACTGGTGTCACGTCTTGGGCGATGCTTCCGATAGCGATGAGCAACTGACTTGTTATGCCCCTGCTTATTCAAACTGGGAAGCCCTTTGTAGCACCAAGGGCAAGTCCAGCAACGCTGGTCTTCCGGCAACTGACTGGAAGCTTCCACAACCTGTATTGACTCACGCATGAACGTGGCGAGATTGCCAACGGTGTGTTGGTCCGCATGCCGAGATTTGAGGTGTTCAGCCCTTCGTTTGCGCAAAGGGGATTTGCTTTTTCCATCCTTGGCGTCGAAAACCATGCTACAGTAAGGGCAAGTCCAGATCGCGATGACCTTATGGAACCGCCCCAACTGTTTTGCCTTCCGCCCGATCCTCTTGAAAATTCCGGGGAACTTTGGAAGACAAGGCAGAAGACTTGATGAGTAACGCAGGTGGCTCTGATTTTCTTGTGGTGAAAGTCACCGGCGCCGACCTCTTTAAGAGAGTCCGCAATGCTCATACACAAACAATTTCCATCCGCCGCATTGGGAATACTGGTGATCCTTCCGGGGGCGGCTGATAACGCAGCCGTTTTTTCTCCGGGCTTTTGCCCGTGTCCGCAGCCCGTTTGCCAGCCGTTGACATACCCGTCTCCGCATCATGTTTCTCTTGGGACGAAGATTCGTCAACATCCATTGGAGTGGGTTGAACTTCCTCCTTGGTAAGGTCAACAGGAGCGTCCGACTGAAACCTATAGGCTTAGCCAGAGACACCCGACGCTCCCCTTGCAACTTGGTAGTACCCTGTTGAAGAAAATTCCTTTGGGCCTTCTCAACCGTGACGGGGAGCCCCTCGCAAAGTCCAAGCTCTTTGAATGAACTCCTGGGTTCAGGAGCCGAAGTGGACCTGAGACCAAGTTGCCGCCATCCCTTAGCAATATGTAACCACCATTCATCCCCACAACCCTGGAAGCATAATTCAACTCCGTTTCATCTCCCCGGGTTCAATCCAGGAAACAAAGGGTCTTTGTCCAAGGGGGCTTGTTCCCATTTGAGGGGTCCCAAAACACACGAATCCCATTGCGGTGACGACCGGAAGCATTGAGAAGGGCGGAAAGTTCCTCACACTGTTTGAATCGAAAAAGGCCTTTCACAACCATCTCAGTTCCAGCCGAACCGGCTTGAAGCTCCCTGCTCCAAGTGTCCTTTGTTTTACCGTCACAGGAGGGACACACCTCCTTGATCCATTGACGGGCCAAAGATCCCGGTGATCCAATCAACTTTTTCCACGCCGCCGGGGCCGTGGTGTTTCCTTGATTTTGCAAAGCACTTTCAACATCTTTCAACTTTGGGTCGTTTCTCTTTCGGGACCACAACTCGAAGACCGGCCGGGGAAGCAGCCTGTTTGGAGCTCCACCGAGCCACGTTTCTAGTCAACAGCTTCCCATTTCTCATTAAAACCGGGACCTGCGTGTGAACAAACTGGACATCCGGAAAATCGGGAAGAGCCATTTCCGACTTCGGAGGGGTCGGAAACAAAACTGTCACATTGGAACCGGGGTCACTCTTTGTCGTTTGAACGATCTCCCCGACTCGTCAAGGGTCTTCCCCAAAATGACAAAATGAGTATCCGGCTTTTTGGAATCCAACACAGAACCAAATTTGGCAAGATTGGGAACAATGACATACCAGGCCAATCATGGTCTCTTAAACGCCATTCTTGGCTCAAGTTGTCGCTGAGAACGGGCCAGCAACCCTCGTCCAACTGGACTTTCTTACCCCCTTTCCCAACCTGAAACCAAACATCCTTTTGACCTTTCCCTTTTTCTTTGCCTTTGTGTTTCCTTTCCCCTTGTTTTGACCCTCACCTTGGTTCCTGCGGTGTCTGAACAGGTAACCTTTTTCTTTTTTTCTTTTTCCGCTTATGCAACTTGCGGCCAGCAACCGCCGCCGAGGTGAGCGACTGCAGCCGATCCAACAATCCAACTGGGTTTGTTCTGGCTCGGTCAACCATGCGAATCAAGGCTTCTAACAAGCTAGCCTTCATCTTAGTGAGCTGTGTCCGACGAGGATTTGCCCTTGCCAAAACTTCGATCCTTACCCTTGGACAGTCCGGAACTCTGAGACGTATCATCCGTCTTGGTCCTGAACCTGTCCAGCACACTAACCAAAGTCTGCAGCAACTCTTTTTCTGCTGCTGCTTTCTGTTGTTTTTTCAGCTCGTTTCCTTTCAGTAGCAGTAGCAGCCGATCCCCCGCCCCCTCCCCTATACAGTTATCCCTCGGAAGGTCGAGAGGGAAGCAAGGAAAGGTGTGAGCAGCCGCTTTTCCAAACCCTTGGTGTTCGCAGAGCCTGGTTTTCGAGTTGGAGTTCTTACACCGAGACCTATGTCGCGACCGCCAACCACGTCTAGCACGAACCAGCCTTCTAGATCTAGCTTTCTTGAAAGACCTAACCTGTTTCAAAAATATCCTTTCCAGAAAACTTTGCAACATGTCATCGAATAGTCGCAATGCCCGGTGAACAAGCCTTGGCCACTTTGGTTGCATCCCGGACGCGGGCTTTGACAGTGTTCTCGTACCTGCGCTTGATTCAAGCTGAGGGGCTTGATTCTGCATCTCTGGTCATGCGTGACAAGGTTGATCAGGTCAGGAAACACCTCACCATGTTTGCCATGAACCCAGGCCTCCGAGGCCCGAGTGGAAAGCACTTGCACCACGACCTGATGCCTCAAATCCACATAGTGTGCGACCAGACGCAAGCCATAAAACCATGCCCTTTCCATGCTCTGGGTGCCCAGCAGCACTGTGGTCACTGCTCCCTTTCTAAACATTTCGCCATCAATGAGTGTGTGGTGCACCGAAGCCACAACGAAGTGCTTGAGCCGAGGGTCTCCACTTGTTGGTGCAATGCCAATGGTGACCATTGTCCATGACCCCACGTTTGCACTGCTGCACCACCAGTGGAAATCTCATACTTCGGGAGCTGAAGCAATCTTTGAGCCCAGAATTCAAGATTGATGCCTCCATCAATCTCTTGCTGGAACTCCTGGTCAAGCGGGGCAAAGGCCTTCTGTGTCTCTGGGCAAGTCCACAGCAGGTGCACTGTGGTTGCATCACAGCTGCAATGGCGGGCATCGGAGCTGGCTGCCCTGCTGTCCATCAGCTTGTTTTGTGAAGATGGCCTGTTGATGCCACGTCTGCAAAGCCGTGGCTTGGTTCTTGGCAAGTTGCCTGGTCATCCTGCGCCATGGCAGCCAATCCAAACGTTGTTGGACGTCCGGGAGGTGCGTCCTCTTGTTGACCTTCATGACGGTTTCCCATTTGCGTGCTCTTTCACCATTCAGCATGCATGCTCAACTTGAAATCTTGCTCTCCATTGCGCCCTGGCTTGGTCCACTCATCGTGTTGGTCGTAGGTCCACCCATGCTCTTCAGGTAGCACTGGAGGGCAGCTACTGGGCCTTTTGCATGCTGCCATGGGTGGGCCACACTCGCCAGCTTCTCTTTGTGGATCTGCCATGCCTTTTCCAGATCCCTTTGGAGGGCTTCAGGCCAGTTACCAAAGAACCTGCGGTACAACCGTACCTGGCCCTGCGTGGAAAAAAGGAGGTCCACATTGCCCGTCTTTTGAAGGCCCAGCTGACGGCCCATCGTGGCCCGAATCCTCTTCCGCACTTGAGGTGCGAGCCCCATGGCTTCATGTCCCCAGCTAATGCCAGCCAGGATGTTGCCCTTATAGAGCTTTAGCCGAATGGCCTGTGCTGGGATCTTCAGAGCAGCCATCTTCTTTGTCTTGCGGCTGGCTCTTTGTCGTCGAGCTTTCATTGTTTGAATGCGTCTCAAGCGGCCTGCAGTACAGTCGACTCCTAAATCCCTCATCACGTCGTGAATCTTTGGGCCTCTCTTCATACGTATATATATATATTATATAACTATAATATATATATATAGTAATGTATAGTTACTTCGGCTTGCTTGCTTGCTTGCTTGCTTGCTGGTTGGTTGGTTGGTTGGTTGGGTAGTTTGTTTTGTTGTTTCGTTCGCTTCTGTGATCCAATGTTGCCAAATAGACGTGTGCACGAGCGTGATTAGACTAGATCTTCCCGTCGACAAAAAACAATGGCTTCCGTCCAAACAAAACAATGGCAATGGACAAACTCCAAAATTAAGACTGCTGACATGGCAGGCAAAAAAACTATGGCGTTGTTGTAATTATTTGACTATGTAACTAAGGACTGTGGCATGCTGATATTAGGAGCCTGTTCTTGGTCCATTTTCCACTGCATCATCGTACCGTATTGCCGTATCCGGGTCCTTCTCTTGCTTCTTGGCCGCTTCGAAGTGCTTCTGATGCGTGTCAACCAAGGTCTGAAGAGGAACCCCCATGTCCTTGGCCAAGTCCTCCCCGGAGGGGTAGAACTTCATCACTCCTCGCCCAGTGTAGTGCTTGGCCTCAGCCCGAGCACGACAAACTACAGTATGCAAAACTCTGAATACCTCTAACGATGGACAGGTATAGATTCCACAGAAAAGGCTGCAGCATGAAAGCTAATTTATTTATCCGTCGTGCCCCGCATACAAGCCTCACACCAAGTGGCATGCCAAATAATCTCATCTGCGGCAGCACGGTTCAAGCAAAGGCGGAAAGGAGGCTTGTTCCTCAGCGGCGTGGCATCAAAACAAAGCAGCCAACACATGACACATGCTTTCAGCTTCACCCACGTGATCCACTGAAGGACTCGTCCACCATTGGTCCCGAAGTCCAAGGTTTTTCCCACCCAGAGGGCCATGGGCCGAGCTTTCCCTGTATTCCATGGGGGGGACACCCAGGATTGGTACGGAGCTTCTTCCACATCTCTCCGGTGACATAGTCCCGGCGACCCAGCTCGTTGCAGAAGCGCTGGCCATTGGCATCCAAGACCAGGCCACCCACACCACGCAGGGCCTCGGCGGCCAAAAACTTCACCTGGCCGCTGAGGGTGGCACGAGGCGAGTGGTAGAACAACCCGTGGAGAAAAACAAAAACTGCACGGTCCATGATAGCTAATAGAGCCAAATCCGTCCATGAGCTTTATGAAAGACATATCTAAAGAACCAATTGGTTCATTCATGTTTATACACCCCACTAGTTCCACTCATTTCACAAGCCGACCCTCCGAGGCAGTGAACATGCCATGTCTTCCTCACATCAGCACGTAGCCGACATGGGATCTCTAAGCCTCATAGGTGGAGCTACACTCCCACTCACGGAAATGGACGTGCTGGCCCGTGCTGGCCATTGGGAAGACCAGTTTCCATTACTAAAACGGTGGTTTTCCACTTCCACGTCAGTCGAGTTAGAGGGTACACTTCACACGTCCACCCCCTTGGACCACCGCCTTTCCATCCTCGGCCGCACGCCTTGGCATCGGGGTCATCCGGCTTCACCAGGCCGGTGGGGTGCACCTGCACTCGGAACGGGCGACACCAACACACCAAGGGAAGGGCATCGCTACTGGTAGCAAGAAGTTAATTACTACTAACAAGGGCATTACTTCTAAGTAGCAAGAAGCTACTAACATCGACTCCCACAAAGGGAAGGTCGACAGAATCCTGCACCAGCCGTTAGTCATTGACTCAGCTGACGCTGAAGCCTTCTGTGCTTCCAACTGGGCCTTGGGTGATAGGCTTAGATCAGAACGCGCCAAGCCTTCAAAGCCCCTCTGAGGTGTCTTTCCGTCTACGGTAGTGGCCTTCAAGTTGGAAGTTTCCAGACTTGGGAAGTCAATGCTTTGCATCTTTGGGATGTCAATGCTTAGAATGTCAACACCTAGGCTCAAGCTCAAACTTGGGTTTCATATGGTTTCATGGTTTCTCGATGTTTCTCTGGAAAAGCGTGATGAGGGCTTCTCCTCAGAACCCCTGCTGCTTCTGGTCGGCCACCTGGACCCACTCCAAATCGATGGTCGCCGCTCCAATGGCTTCGCCCATCTTGATGGCATCCCCGGTGCAGTGCTCACCTTCGAGCGGACCAACGAACACCTCTGCGGTCAACAGGACCTACATAGGGTAGCATGCTGGACTTGGACAAACGAGGCGATGGAGGTGGACGAAAGGTAGAGCGAACGGAAGAGAACATGAAGAGAGCAGCTTTCGCAAGTGGCAAGCAGCAAAGCAGCAAAGCAGCAGCGAAGCAGGAAACCCATGCCCCAAGCCACAACGCGGCACAAGTAAGTACGGTGCAGTCGGTATCAATACTTGAATCCTCGAAACCAGGCAGCGGAGACTTCCACCTCCTAAATACATGATTTGCTAAAGCAAGAAGAACTTAGGTAGCCGAGGCTACCTTTCGTGAAAATACGTCATCATCTTCACCTCCAAAAGAATGGTTCCTACAGCAGCTTCCCTACAGATGTTCAAGAGCTGTACCCAGTGTCAACACCTGTTAACACCCTCCGCAAAACATGTCCGGAGAGGGTTCGAGCCATCCTGGGAAAGCACACTGCCAACAGTCTGCCTATGGAAAAAAGGTCCCCTCAACCAAATCTACATCCTCCAACCTAGCTCCACCAGAACCATCTTCTAATATCTTCTAATATTTCTGCATGGTTCTGTTTTCGAATGGGTCAGGTCGCCATTCGTGGTGGGCAAATGCAGCAGGTCCGGACGGTAGGTGGCCAGCAGGGAGTCGCTGCCGAAGTCGGCGCCAAAGCCGCCAGAGGCCAAGACCATGGGGCCGAACTCCTGCTTGTGGCGGGCTTTGGTCGACCCATGGCACCAAAGACCAGATCTGAGATCCTCGTAGATCCTCTAGGTTCCCATCATGCAACAACAGAACTAAGTTTTAAAATGATGGATCTTCCGGGCAGCGCCTCGCAGATTGGTGGTCACACGCCACTTAGTCTGAATTCTTCCGAAATAGAGTCCGCTCCTCAACAAAACTATCCAGGCCGGGCCGCTTCGCAACCCGATTTTCGACTCGTCATCCTACTATCCACCCTCTGGGCCTCTGGGTGTTTCATCCCCACGCGTCTACGCTCTCATCCCCGTCCTTCACAACCTTGCCAGCTTTGCGGTACTCGCACCCCACCACCGAACGTCCACTCTGGACCAACTTGAAGACCTCCGCCTGGTCGCAGGGTTGGCCAAAACCCAGGACCTTTGTTTTCTAGATTCTCTTCCTGCCCAATAATTAGGTGTCGTACTGCTAGACGCTGAACCCTAACACAGCACCGTGCGTACACCGAAATGGAAAGCATGGTGAAGAGGTGGTTTCAGATGCTTTCCGCTCCCGGCCGAGAAGCCTTGGTGATGATGCGTGCACGGTTCGTCTTCTCGGCCACCTTCTCCAACATCTGGATCAAGGCCTTGATGGTGTAGGCAACAGCCATGTGCGCATGTCCAGGGTGCGAGAGCGCACTCTTACCCGCACACGGTGTCTCAAGAGCATCGAGCGCGGGATATCTGGTTTTGATTCTCCCAGAGGTCTTTGGGGTCTCTCTATTCCAATGCACACATATTGTTTACAAAAGACCTTGGCTCGACAGCGGCTGGCACGGCCAAGGATCGGATCCAATCGGTCAAAACCACATGTGTTCAGTAGTCATCCGGAAGCTGACAAAGAATAATGGGCCCTACCTTAGGGGGGGTGACTAGGTCATTCCTAAGGCTGATAAGGCTGGCCCCATGACATAGAGACCAAAAGCCACCATCCGGCTGATGGAAGGCTAGCACCACGAAGTTCACCCTTCGAATCGGTGTCCAATTGTTGTCCCTTTGCCGAAACAGTTTCCCCTCGCCTGGGTCACGTTACATACACCATCATATACCTATATACTGTTTATGAATGTTTATGATATATATATATATATATTTATATTCCTGTTCGCACCGAGTGGCATAGGTGATGGTCATGCCCGGGAAGCGCTCCTTACCACGATGGGTACGGGGCTGAGAGTGTCCGCCCAAGCGAGCCACCAAGGAGAGGTCAAGGTCGAACTTGTCCACCAACCAATCCTTGGATTGTTGGATTTTCTCGCGAACTGGAAATGCATTTGGACCTCCCAACGCCGGAAAATGAAAAGGATTTGTAGCATAGGCTTGAAGGGGGGGCCTATGATCACAACAGTTCCATATGCACAGGCAATTCAGGCAGTTCGTGATTCAATCATAGCATGCATGTTGTCTCAGCTCTCTCAACTCCAGTTTCTTCAGGGATTCCGCAACACACTAGCAAACCTATGACGTAGCAACGCCAAGAATCCACATCGGCCGCGCTGTTGGCACACAGCACCTGCCAAAATGTGAGGGCATTGCCTCTCCACGTCTAGGTCAAAAACTGCAGGGCACTGGTCAAGCGATGGAAAGGGTTCCCGCTTGCAATTATTTCGTCCTGATAAAATTGAGGCGTTGTCATTCGTGTCCAAAGCACACCTACGCTCCCCACCTTTGCCAGCTCAGGCTTCTTGGCTCCACCCTTGAGCGTGTCGGCAATGAAAATCTCCGCATTGTCAGGAATGGACTTGGTCTTCTGCGTCTTCGTGCCAGCGCCGTTGATGCCACTGGTGGCCTGGCGCCAAAAGGTGGCAATCGTAAGGAAACAAAATGGAACCCACGAACCCGAATGCAAACACGTACTCGAAAACAAACACCCAAACAATTTTTGACACTCTTGTAGCAGACACTTTTGTGGGACACTCTTGTAGGACACAATCTTTTCGGAAACCTTTGTGGGACACTCTGGTGTACTCTTGTAGGACGCTCTTGTAGGACATTTTTGTGGGACACTCTTGTGGGACACTCTTGCTTGTCACTCTTGTGGGACACTCTTGTGTGGTATCAGGATCAAAAGAAAATTTCTGTTAGGATCAAAAAGAAACTATTCAGGGGATCAAAAGGAAATTATTACGAGAATCAAAAACATCTTATCACCTCTAGCCAGACCTCTAGCCAGACACCCTCACCAGCTGGTGACAGTGACACCCCAACATGTTGCGACTATGGTCTCAGCAAACCAAGCAAGCAATTAATAGTCTCTGTCTTATTTCTTTCTTTCTGTCTTCGTTTCTTTCTTTAATGATTGTTTTTCTTCTGCATGTCGTTTCTTTATTTTTCTTTCCTTCCTCCCTTCCTTTCGTTCGTTCGTTCGTTCTTTTTTTCTTTCTGTCTGTCTGTCTGTCGTTCTTTATTTCTGCCCTTTTTGTTCTTTTTTTCTCTCTTCTTTATTGCTTCCTTTTATCCCTGCTTGTTGTTGTCTGCATCTCTGCTTATTTGTTTGATCCCTAGTTGTTGTTTTATTGATCCCTATTTGTGTTTTTCTTGGTCCCTATTTATTTTTTAAAAATACCTCTCCCGCACGGGTGGACGCTCCCTTCTTCCTTCCCTTCTTCCTTCCCTTCTTTCTTCCTTCCTTCCTTCCTTTCTTCCTTTCTTCCTTCCTTCCTTCCCAACTTCCCTCCCTCCTGCCTTTTCCTTCCTTCCTTCCTAACTTCCCTCCCTCCTGCCTTTTCCTTCCTTCCTTCCT